ACGCTAGTGTAGACCGATCATTACAAAACATTTGTAGTCTGTCAGTAATTATAAAATAAAAAAATAATAATAAGATATACAACATTGAAATATACTGTAATAAAAACAGTCCTGTCAATCCAAATCCTACTATTAACATGTTGTTAGCACACTAAAACGTCTCAAAAAAGGTTACTGTGTGTCTCTAGATTCATGCCATTTAAAGTATGTCTATTCAAAATATAAAAAATCTGGATAAGCTCAACCTTTGACTGGATGACTACACGAAAGCATGCTGACACATTCCTAACGCCGTCTGTTACCTTTTTTTGATACCTGTTTATTATTTAGAATAGCTACAAAAATAAGTTAAGAAAAGAAGACAAATTTAGAGTTATAGGGTCAAAAATTCAGGGGGATGGTGCATTATGCAGAAATCGGGACTCTGCAGTGCTGTACGATGAGATGAAGACCTGAGCTTAGTACAGTACTGGAGCCCTGCCAGATACTTGACAATGAGACACAACCACCTCCTCTAAGGAGAGGAGTCACCTAAACAACAGAGGTCACCTCTTAACATTCTGCTCACAATACTTCATATCCTTTTGGGATAAAGAATCCACTATACCCAGTCTCCAAGCTTTGAGACAGAGGCAAGCTTCCATTTACATAACATCACAAAACTGCCACTAGTCCACAGTTTAAGCCTGAGTTCGCTATACATAAGCTCTGTGGGTGGCTGTTCCGCAGAGACCAAAGAGGACAAAATAAACCTGAAACTTTAAACAAGAACCTAGAAGTACAAACAATACAGGCTTCCTGATATACATCCAAGAATATACACCCACCGCTTATGACCATAGTGCTTGCTTGATAATCATATTTCACTGTGCAATGTGCATAACCATTGGCAAAACATTTAGATGACTCTAGCTATGGTTTCTAGCACATAGGAAGTGGAAAAACATGGCTATTCCTACATTATATCTCCCCCCAAAATTTTTTTTCACTGCAGTTTTAAGCTCAAACACTATTGGCATTAAAACACCAACAACGTTTTTTTTCCTCCATGCAATATACTATAATATCAACTCAAAACACAAATGTGTTTTTGTTTCACGTTTGCTTTTGTTGACAAGCGCAGTAAAGCACTAACCTTTTAGCAGTGTTGTAGTCGAGACCACCTCACTCGAGTCCGAGTCGAGACCGAGACCAGAGAGAGTCGAGTCCGAGTTAAGACCGAGTCCATAGAGAGTCGAGTCCAAGTCGAGTCCAAGACCAGAGATGGTCGAGTCCGAGTCGAGACCGAGACCAGTGAGGGTTGATTACCTAATTTACTTTTATTTACTTAGAGAAATCCTTTTTTTATTTTACTGAATTTACTTAGAGTTTAAAAAATATGATCAGTTTAGGGTAAAAAGGCCACATAGTAGGTGGTGTTAAAAGTAATTTTATTACAATTTGTCATGCGCAGTTGCGCACTAGAAAATCACCAATCACTGGGCGTGTCAATCAATTTAAAGAAATATTTTATTAATATACATTAATAATCATGAAAAATATTTTGAATTGAACTCGAGTGGACTCGGGAATAAGTCCGAGTCCTAAAAAAAAAAAAATGTTCGAGTACGAGTCAATTCCGAGTCCAAATGGACACGAGTCCATGACAAGACCAAGACCATTAAAATATGGTCTCGAGACCGAGTCCGAGACGAGTCCGAGTCTCGAGTACTACAACACTGCCTTTTAGCGCCGCTCACCGGACATCTCATTTCTGAACTGCCGCAAAACATACAACAACCAACTTAATAAATGTTACCATTCACATTCATCTGTTTCGGATAAAACATGCAAGAAGCAACGTAATATCATTTTACAGCAATGTCACCACAGACTTGTTTTTTCCCCAGTGTGGTAGAAGAGAAATAATGCTGCTAATGTACTAAAGCCATAAAGAATCATTCTTTCCAAACATTCAAAACACTTCCTGCAGTTATATTATAGTGTAAAAGCATTATTATTGGGGCTTTTTTTTTTACTTTTGAATTCTTACCAAGGCTAAGTTACCAAAACATAGTTTTGTTGCACTAGCAACTGCAGTCGCATGGCTATTACATAGGCTATAGACCATTTCACAAGATGTAAACAACACTGGTCCAGAAGCACTTCCTGTTTCAGTTTTTTAACACTACATAAAAGCTGGGATAAAATACAACCAACAGAACATATAAAACTGAATCAAAAAGTTAAACAAACATCTTTAAGATTTTTTCTTTCCATGTGAAATAAAGAAAACAGGAAGTGTTTCTGGACCAGTGTTGTTTACATCGTACAAAATGGTCTATAGTTACCATGGTAAATGTTTGTAAGGGAAAATTAAAGGATTTTCCAGAATATGCTGGCGTTTTTAAGTACAATTAAGGCCGAACTTGCAGACGTCTCACATTTGGGTTTGTCCAACTGTTTGGACATCTAAAGACCTCAGCTCAGCTAACAGAAAATTAGCCAAATGAAAGCAAAGCACAGGACTTTATTCTTGGCCAGCGTGAATTACTTTATTTTAAATGAACTGTGGAGCGTTAAAGAATATTTGAATAGTGTTTAACCAGCGGTCAGTGTGTGGGAATGCTTTTAAGCACAATTCACATGTTTAGCTTGGAGTTCAACTACACTTATCATGCAATGCTAATGCTAACCAACAGCGCATTGGCAGTAACACTGAAAGCTAATGAGTTCTTACATTATGACTGCTCTAATACACAACAAAAACAACTTTAGGCACATTTAAGAAATGGTTTATTACTCCCTCTCCCTCGTATTCTCTTACAAAAAACTAGATGTAAACTTGTAATAGTCCACATATGGGGAAAATAAGCCTTTAAAACATTGTTTATGCTCTTTATTTACTACACACTATTGTCCAAGAGTCTCTTATGCTCACCAAGGCTGATCAAAAACACAGTAATATTGGGAAATATAATTACTATTAAAATAAATATTTTCTATTTAAATATATTGTAAAATGCTTTTTATTCCTGTGATGTAGAGCTGAATTTTCAGCATCCAGTCTTCAGTGTCACATGATCCTTCAGAAATCATTCAAATGATTATTTGATGCTCGAGAAACTGATGTGCTGCGTAATATGTTTGTGGAAACCGCGATACTTTTTAAGCATACTTTGAAGAACAGAAAGTTTTTGAACAGCATTTATTTAAAAATCTTTTGAAACGTTATAAATATCTTTACTGTCACTTTGGTTAATTGAATGCATCCTTGCTGAGTAACATTAGAAGTTTCTTCAAAAATCCTACTGACCCCAAACTTTTAAACAGTAGTGTACTATCCAAAACCAAACTAAGCCTCTAAACTACTTAAGCCATGAAGCACAGCCGGGTGCGTTATTTATACTTTCTTAGAATGATCTGAAACATCTGCTGACACCTCATAAAATGCACATCCCTCTTCCTAATGTTTGTTATTGTTCCTGTCGTCTATCCCACATGGAGAGGCAGGAACTCAAGTGGAGGGAAGTGATTGACCGAGTTAGTCGCCCTCTCAGCCCTTATCAATGGAGGCTTTGACTTCATCCCTCCGCCCTGTACACAACATGGCCGCCATTAGCTCCCGTGTCAGACACTGGAGTCTTTGAGACAACACTAACCACTAACAACCTCAACAGACTGTAGATGTGTAGAAGAGCCCAAGGGGAGTCCAGAACTCCCTACACACACAACTACAAATTTATTTATTTATGTATTTTTGCAGGGATTCTAACCACAAAGAGGAATTTTAAGCTGATAAAATATAAAATTTTCAGAAATGTAAAAAACGGGACAACACTATTTTAAAATAACCTGACGAAACCCTGCAAATAAAGTGGCATCAACATGTTACCTTGTCAAAAACCAAGGTGTTTCCATGATACATATCCAAAAAATATGGCACTACTATGGTTTAAGTTAAAAAAACAACAACATGGTAATACTAAAGTACATTATTAAAAAAATGGTATTACCATGAAGTACACTACTGTTCAAAAATGTGATTTTTATTTAGCAAAGGACACAAAAAAATGGTAAAGACAGTTACAAAAGAATTATTTCAAATAAATGCTGCTCTTTCTGTTCATCAAAAAATCCTGAAAAGAATCTCATCACAGTTTCCACAAAAATTAAGCAACAGTTTTCAAAATTTTAAATAATAAGCAATGTTTTCAGAATATTGTAAAGATTTCTGATCATGTGACTCAGAAGATTTTGATGCTAAAATATATTTTATAATATACATTTTAAAATATATTAAAATGAAAAATAATTGTATAAATAATAGTCACAATATTACTGTTTAAAAAAAACATTCCCATTGTAATGCTAATAAAATGTTACTTTTTAGCACTTTTGTTAGTGCTAGCCACAAATAAAAATACACATATCCACTATGTTCACAAAGACATGCTTACACTGCAACTAAATGTGCGCAGTCATCCGAACCCTATCCACGTCCTCACACACATGATCTTTCTTCCCAGACTTTACAGAGGGGCCTGCTGCACCTGAAGGGTTGGGTGTGAACGCTGCGGTCCCTCCATTCTACTTCCAAAGCAAATACTGTTATTGGCGGAGGTGACCTGAGAGCTCTGTTACAGAGTTAAGACTTTAATTTGTAAAATACACCCATAAATGTCATTCAGAGTAACCCCTTTGCTGCGGACATGCTACATTAAATAGCATTAGTCTCATATCACATTCTTTCGTCCCCATATTAATAATTGTCCTCTAACTTCCCACTGCTGTGGGAATAAAAATACACTGTTATTGATGTGTAATACTAATAAAGCATATTTAAATGTAAGAAAGAAGGAGAAATAGGAGTTCAAACATAGCCTTGGCTTGCGTAAGCCCAACAATAAAAAGACATTAAACTCAATGCTGAGGTGACACCTGAAAAAATAATATAAAAGTAAAGTAAAAGAAGATAGACCGAGAGAGAATTCGCAACTGTTAAACTTAAGTGAGCCTACCTGAAGGTCAAAGAATTTACTGTATCTTCTGTAGATGATGTGGGATGTGGAGTCAGAGTATGTGACATTAATGAGATACACCTGAAAAGAGAAAAAGACAAGAAGACAATTAGATTCTCTACAACTTAATCTACACTTTAGTTAAAAATGCATTTCAATATAGTCAAGTTTACACCAAACTATAATGATGACTCTAAAATTATAGGATCTGTTCTAATTCTATGAGAATAGGGAAGTCCACACCACAACAATAATGATAACGTTTCACGCCACAGTGAAACGATATTGTCGGAATCACTTTCAGAACGACAGAGATGGTCTTATTATTGGGAGACACGATGGCTCTACCACTGGATAGAGTTTAGCGAACTCAGATCATGTGTGCCTTGATAACCAATCACATTACAGCCTTGACGTCATTTAATTTCATTCATAGTCGTGTGGCCGTCAATCGCTGTTTGCGGATACCATAGAAATGAATGAGAAGTGCCATAAACTGAATCATAACTGCCCATGACTTCTGTTGGGGGGGGTGTAAACTCTAAAACTAGATCAACCCAAAACTAATGTTTAAGAGCAAACATTTTGAAGATTGGCCGATCGGCTGTCGATTCATTAAATGATAAGCCGCTCTGGTCTCTTTCCCTGCGTACCGCCTTAGCAGGCGTTAGCTTTTTTTTGCTAACTTTGGAGGCTTGCTGGAGATTGTCCGATTTCGGCAATCCTATAAGATCATTAAAGCTGCAAGCAACGATGAAAGGGCCCTCGCACCCGTGCTATTGCTACCCGGTGGCTTTTGGAAGAGCACGGTGGGCAATGTGCTTTTAATAGCGACAGTGGTAATTACGAGAGTAACACTAAATACTCCACAAGTACTCCACAGCGACTCCAGGGGTCGCTGTTTGACAAAAACAGAATTCCTGCGTAGTATGCCTTTAAGATTACACTCACCAAATTTGAAGATCAGATTAAAATTGTAGAAGGAGTTTGTTAAAGTATGAGGCCTGAAAATGGCAAAAACTGCACAAAAATCAGAGAGGAAGATCAAAATGGCTGACTTCCTGTTGTGTTTAGGGCTACGCTCCAAGATACTTTTTTTTGTAGGTATTGGGTCATTACATGTACCGAATTTTGTACACGTACGTAAAACGTAGCGGGAAGCTTTTATAGGTGCCGCTAGTTCGCCAGTTCTGATGCGTTTGCAAATTTCCGTTTCGTGCATGTTTAGGCCCTCAAAAATGCAATTCATTTTGGAGGATAATACTAATAAACAGAGCAATTCCAAGAGGGACCTCACACCATCAGTGCTTAGGCCCTAATTACAAATCACACTGTACGATATTGATCTAATACACTTGGGTACGACATGTATTTAAACTGTACGATGATGACATTTATTGAATTGTAGACTACAACGCAAGGAAGTATAGAAGAATAAAATGGCATCAGCATGTGCTAGTGGTAAACAAGTAGAGAAAGAAAAAATTTATGTATGCTGAAAAAAAGAACAGGAAACGAATTGAAGAGAATATGTGGTCATGGCTATGGAAAACAGGTCAGCTTGTCATGCCAATTTTGCAAATGGAGCATGAGGTAAGTAGTTTTAAGTTTTTAGCGCCATGTCAAGTTGATCAATACGCCATTTAGGAGTCATGACCAATGAAATCAACACGATTGGTCATCTTTCGTCTGGGACAGCTAAAATCATACAATGTAGCGGGGATTAAAGTGGCTTTGAGTGTGATCTTTTCCAGCTGATGAACGATTGACAGAGAGCCAATCAGAATCCATTCTGATTAAGTGCACAAGCATTTAAAACGTTAGACGACAATCTCAAGAGTGTGAGATAAATAATGGCATCACAGCATTGACTGGTCAGTGGAAACACCAGTCAGGGACAAGTATTTCCTACACATATACAGAAGAAAAGTTTCTATATAGAACCTTAAAAGGTTCTATCAGTGCTACGTATTTCTATACACTCTTAAAAAAAGGGTTCCTCTGGGTTCTATATGGAACCCTAGGGGTCCATACTTGGCCAATAGAACCTTTTACCAAAAAAAATGGTTCTATATAGAACCATTTTGGAGTTCCATATATGAAGCGGGGGATGGAACCATTTCTGGTTCAAAATAGAACCATTTCTTCTAAGAGTGTACCCAATAAATCCAGCTCTATTGTCCTGCAAGAAAAATCATGATCAGTGTAGTTCCTCCACAAGGCCACCAACAGACAACATGACATCATGCAAAACCGAGCACTCGGTGGAAACAAAGATGAGGGGAACTCCTGTTTGCAGGAATTTCCCCCTGGATGGGATAATTGCAGGGTGCCTCTGCCCTGCACCGACTCAGCAAAGGACAGAACAGGATCCGTCTTTCACGACACACTGAACACATACAGTAAGTGTGTAATATCACAGGCTCATTTCAGCATAATATTCCGACCACAGCTCTCCAAGCATCAACCCTACAGAACAGCGTGTTGACATCTTCTCTCTGGGGTCTAAACAGTAACGTCAAGCCCATTCAAGGTCTTCTCCTCTGTGAGCAGCATGTGTGAGCTGATCCTGGAGGTGCATCTGGAAAGCTGTATTTATGACACTTAGGATCTAACAGCTTTGGTATTTTGCTGTGTTCTCTAGTGATCTCCTGTCAACTGGCCAACTGATGTATGAAGTAGCCACATGGTATAATGTGTATCTGCATAAAATGGCCCTAGATGTGCACGAGATAGACAATGCATCAGTAAGAATTGCCACATTTTTGGTCTTTTTACCATGGTCGCCAACAAAATACCAGTTACTACAGTTATTAGTGATTTACTTACTTTCAAAATAGCATATCACTCTCTGCTGAATACTGTGTTGCATAATGCATGCTCAACTTGATATCCACTTAACTGCTTCAAAACCCCAAACTTTGGGTTTGTTGATAGGAGGTGTTGCTTTTCTGATTTCAAAGACAAAAAAAGACAGAGATATCAAAAGAGCGACCTAATCATTGACAGGGGGCAATAAGTAACTACCTAGCAACCACTGAGAACACCCTAGCAACATGCAAACAACACAAAGTATTGCACCTAGCAATGACTCTGAATAGGTTTAATTGACCAAATTTGCTTAAAATATTTTTGTTCCATTGGAAAAAACAGGACTTCATATAAATACAAGATAGAGAAAGCTAAATGTATAAGAAATACAGTTTACACAATTATATTAATTTAGCATTGTGGCCTTAAGTTTTACACCTAGCAAAGCACTAGCAATCACATAGCAATACACTGCCCAGATAGCAAACTGACATTGAATCAACGTGGAAACATGACATCGAAACAACGTTGATCCGACATCGTTTTGCTCATCGAATTAACGTTGAACCAACGTCAGACGCGCCATTCTTTCAAAACTAACGGAAAATCAACTTGAAATCAACGTTGTTTCAACATTATGAAAGCAAACCAATTTTCGATTTTCATTTAGCTTTGAAGAATGCCGCGTCTGACGTTGGTTCAACGTTAATTCGATGAGCAAAACAATGCCAGATCAACGTTGTTTCGATGTCATGAGAGACGTCGTTTCCACGTTGATTCAATGTCAGTTTGCTGTCTGGGTGAGAACCCGCCTAGCATTGTGGCAACCTAGCAATCACCTTGTACACACAAGTAACCAAATTGCAACACCCTATCAACCCCTAGGATCATGGAGTTTTACACTTACATTGCAGTAACAGTCACTCCAAAGAGATTGTTCTAAATGTTATGAAACCCTTTCCGATTCTACTGAACCCTGAGGACTGAGCACATGGATAGCGAGCACATTTGACATCTGTTGCGTAATAAAGTCATTTCAAATAGTAGCAGATAATGCAAAAGTTTTTTTTTATATTTCACAGTATGTTTAGCGCAATTGAGTCTGGGTTCAATTATAACACAAGCAACAGTCGGTCGTGTATCAGTGATTACGTCATGGGCCATAAAGTGGAAAGAGACTTCAGCTTTACTGTGTGTAATAAAACATGACTGCTATCATATGAAACAAGCAGATGTTTGTGGCGGGGAGAGGGAGAGACAGATAGACATGCTTGTGAATATCTGCACTGTGCCAGGTTAAAGTGCCCCCTCTGTTAGTTGAATGCTGGGAATCGGCCTTGGCTAAACCGCCACACGCTGTTTCCCACTGTGTGTGTGCAGCTATCCAAACAGATATATAGATATGCTCATCACACACAGCGTGCCTGGAAAAGTGTGTGAATGTGTGAGAGAGAGTGCATGAGATGCTTTCTTTGAAAGCATGTGCCAAATAGTCACTCCATGTATGCATATGTGTGTATGTGTCCGGGTGTTTGAGTTATTTAAAGACCTCTGACCGGACTGGCATCTTTGGTTGCTGATTCTGCCCTTCTTTGCTCAACTGTAATTTGTAATTTCACCACAGAGAGCAGCCTCAATCATGTCTGTGTGCTTGTGTAAGATGCAAACTCATCAAATCTCTGTCTTGATTGGCTGATGGGATCATCCTCATGGTAACCACAGTGGAAAACCCACGCCCAAAATATCAAGCGTAACTTCGCTGTCCCAGAGAGCAAAAATAGCACTGAAACTGCACCGACTAAGCCAACAGAACATCCATCACGAGCGAAATTTCGAAACCAAACTATGTTCACAATCTTTCTGACTTTTACATTTTCTAAAATGGAAAATGTCCTCAGGTTTTTGACTGAACAATGCTAATAAAATCGTGCAAGCTACAACAGTAACGCTTTCTTTCAGTCCCAAGTGTCCCGAGATCTGGTTGAGTTGCATTAGCAGTGTGTTCTTGAAAATTGCTATTAAAAAGAACTATTCTTCTAACCACAGCTCCTCGTGAGTTTGCGAAGCTGTTTGCGAATGTTCATTGGAACTATGGTTTCGTAACTATGTTGGAAACAACGGAACTTACACCTTATCTAGTCTTACGTCTCATCTAGTTACTTTTATAAAACGGTTAGTTCCCATTCTTGATTCTGATTGGTCAATAGCTCATGATAACGACCCAACGGTTCTATTGATCACTGCGCAACACTACAGTTCCTATGTTGTTT